CACTCACACGCGCACACACACACACAGACACACACACACACACACACAGAGACACACACACAGACACGCACACGCACAGACACAGACGCACGCACGCACACACGTGCACACACACAGAGAGAGGAGTCAGTGATGCTGGACGCTGATCGATCAGTCTCAGTATATGTGGTGCTGGTCTCACCTCGGGGCCGTCGGACAGTCTGCTGGGATAGCTGAAGAGCGCTCGGCTCAAAGCGTCTCCCAGCTGTTTGCCGTTCTCCTTCAGGTCGTCTGGACTCACACCGCTTCTGCGCCCGCGTCCATCCAGCAGGAACTGCAGCTGCCGCTTCCTACAGAGGGAAGGACAGAGCCACTGACACATGCGCAGCAGGACCAATGCATCGGAGATGCTCATGAGTGCGGTTTGAATTATCTACTTTGTGTCATTTGATTTGGGACTGTGGAGATGAATTACAGTCAACAAGAACCCCGCAAACCTTCTGTATAGAGGCCTTCTAAACAAATAAAGGCCTCTGAAGTCCAGGCCAACCTAAAAAAAAGAATAGAATAAAAAATTTAAATTAATTTTAAATAAGGCCTCTGAAGTCCAGGTCAGCCCATTTTAGATGTGACTTGAGGTTATCTTTGAATCTTTTCTTTGGGCGCCCTTGGTGTCTGGACCCTGCGGCCAACTCTCCAAAGAACACCTGCTTTGGCATCCTCTGCGGGTCCATGCGGATGACGTAGCCAGACCATCGGAGCTGCATTTTCAGAATCATGGATTCAATGCTTGTTGAGCCAGCTCTGTCCAGGACTTCTTGGTTGGTGACTTTGTCCTGCCAGCGGATCTTCATGATTGACCGGAGGGAGCGATGGTGGAACTGCTCCAGCTCTTTGATATGTCTCCGGTAGAGCGTCCATGTTTCGCAGCCGTACAGAAGTGAGGTGAGGACCACTGCTTTGTATACTTTGAGCTTTGTGGAGAGGCGAATGCCACGGTGTTGTAGAACTTTGGAGGGCAGTCTCCCAAGAGCTTGACTGGCCTTTTGGACTCTGGTATTGATCTCCTAGTCCAGAAATCCGTCGCTGGAGATTGTGCTGCCCAGGTACTTGAAGGTGGTAACATCTGAGAGCTGGGTGCCATCGATGGTGATGCACGGCTGGTCTGCTGCTCTTCCTGGTGCAGGCTGGTATAGAACTTCTGTCTTGCTAAGGCTGATGGGTAAGCCAAACAGCTTTGTTGCTACAGAGAATCTGTCTACGATGGTCTGTAGATGATTCTCTTGATGCGCCATGAAAGCACAGTCGTCTGCAAAGAGAGCTTCTGTGAAGAGCCTCTCCAGTGTCTTTGTTTTGGCGGCCAGGCGGCGAAGGTCGAACAGTGAGCTGTCGAGACGGTACCTGATGTACACACCCAGGTTCAGGTCTCTCACAGCATGTAGCAGCACTTGGGTGAAGAACAGATTGAAGAGCACCGGAGCGAGGACACAGCCTTGCTTCATGCCATTAGAGATGCCGAATTGATCGGATGGCTCTCCACCTGACAAGACATCTCCTGTCATGTTGATGTGAAACAGCTGGATCAGTTTGGTGAACTTTGCTGGGCAGCCGAGTTTTCTGAGTATGACCCACAGGGCGTCTCTGTTGACCGTGTCGAATGCCATGGTCAGATCGATGAAGACTATATAGAGGTTCATGTTCTGTTCTAGGCACCTCTCCTGCACCTGCCTCACAGTGATGATCATGTCGATGGTGCTGCGATCTGGGCATAAGCCACACTGTGACTCTGGCAAGCTCTGTTCATAGACTGATGTCAGTAGTCTGTTGAGCATAATGCGGGCAAGGATCTTGCCTGCGATGGAGAGTAAAGAGATACCTCTGTAGTTGCCGCAATCTGCTCGTGTGTGTGCCTTTGTTCTTGTACAGGGCAACTATTATGGTGTCACGGAGCTGCGAGGGCATATCTTCCTCTTTCCAGATGCTGGTCAGAACTTCATGGAAGGTTGAAACAAAAACAGAATTTAAAAAAAAGGAGCTCCTACTGGGAGCATGGAATGTCAGAACGCTTTTGGATAGAGAAGATACATCAAGACCAGAAAGGAGAACGGCACTCGTTGCGAAAGAGCTCGCACGCTACAACATTGATATAGCAGCCCTCAGTGAAACGCGCCTCCCTAACGGAGGATCTCTCGCAGAGCTTACCAGTGGATATACGTTCTTCTGGAAAGTAAAAGCCCAGAACGAAGATAGGATCCACGGCGTTGGATTGGCCATCAAGACCAGCCTGCTAAAGATCCTTCCTGACCTCCCTGTGGGAATCAACGAGAGGCTCATGAAGATCCGCCTATCTCTCAACGACAAGCGGTACGCGACAGTCATCAGCGCGTATGCCCCCACACTAACCAGCGCAGAGGAGACAATTGAGCATTTTTACGCCGACCTCAGTTCCGTTCTGCGCTCGGTACCAGCCAGCGACAAGTGGATCCTGTTAGGAGACTTCAATGCTTGCGTCGGCCAAGATCACACCAGGTGGGAAGGAGTGCTCGGGAAGCATGGAGTGGGAAAGACGAACAGCAATGGCCTACTTCTGCTCAGAAAATGTGCAGAGTTCGAGCTCCTCATCACGAACACTATATTCAGGATGGCGAACAAGTACAAGACAACTTGGATGCACCACAGATCAAAGCAGTGGCACAAGATAGACTACATCATTGTGCGCCAAAGAGACATCCGAGACGTGCTTGTCACCAGGGCCATGAGGGGAGCAGAATGCTGGACAGACCACAGGCTAGTTAGAGCGATACTCCAGCTGCACATCGTCCCTCACCACCCAAGGCTTGCTAAGGTCATACGCTCAGCATTCAACATCGTCAGACTCCAAGATCCTTCCTACCTTCACAAGTTTCAGTCCACGCTGGATGAGAAGCTGTCTGCCAATGGACCACTAACTGGAAATCCAACTGAGAAATGGAACCAGTTCAGGGATGTAGTGACGGAGACAGCCAAGGAGGCACTAGGCCCCAAGGAACGCACTCATCAGGACTGGTTCGATGAGAATGAAAGTGCCATTGGAGACCGGCTGGGCATGAAGAACAAAGCATTCCTGCAGTGGCAGAAAGACCCAAGGTCCGCATCCAAAAAGGAGAGGTTCAAGTCCCTCCAAGCCCAGGCACAGCGAGAAATCAAAAAGATGAAATGTCAGTGGTGGGAGAAGGTGGCGGAAGAAATACAACACTACGCCGACACAAACAACGCCAGGCAGTTCTTTGGCTCTCTCAAGGCAGTCTATGGACCTTCAAAATCTGGTTCTGCCCCCTTACTTTCTGCAGACGGCACCACGCTCATCAAAGTCAAACAGGGCATCAACAACAGATGGAGAGAACACTTCAGACAACTGCTCAACCTCCCATCTGCAGTCAACCAGTCAGCCCTCGACCAGATCCCCCAAAATCCCACTCTCAATATATATATATTAAAACTGATAAACAAATAAAGGCCTCTGAAGTCCATGCCAACTTAAAATAATAATACAATAAAAATAAATAAATACAAATTAAATTAAATTGCTGAACACAAAGCAAGGCCTCTGAGTCTGAAGCCCATGCCAACTTAAAGTAATAAAAATTAAACTAAATTAAAGAAAAAGATACATTTAACTAAATTAAATGTTAGTTTCAAGAGCACCATCTCTGCTCGGGTAAAATAAAAAATAAAAATAAATAAATAAAATAAAATACCCATGGAGTTTTAATTTTATGAATTGCTATGACTTTTCCAGGTCCAGAAATAACACTTTTTAAAGTCTCCCAGGTGATCATGGGTGCAGCAGACGGATGAAAAGATTTTCTGAACAGCACAAGAAGAAACTGTTTAATACCATAAGTTCTGGAGCACTTAAATAATCCTGGACACACACACACACACACACACACACACGCTGTAGAATGGCAGCTGCTGTGGACATGCACTGGCCTGTCGTCACACACACACTCAGGTATTTCACAGGTAATGTGAGTGTTTTAGTCTGTGCTGAAGGATCTCTCACACACAGACACACACACAGACACACACACACACACACACACACCTGGACTCCTCCAGCAGCAGCAGCAGGCGGCAGCGTGGCGTTTCTGTAGCAGCGACGTGACCCAGAGCGCCGAACATCCGCTCCGAGGCCATGATCTCATTCATGGTGACCTGAAACACACAAACATCATCACACACACGCTCCCGACACACACACACACACACACTGACTGCTGCTGCTCAGACCTCAGTGCCGTTGATCTTCTGCAGGTTGAGGTGCTGCAGTCTGTAGATGAGGAAGGATCTCCAGAGCGTCAGTCTCACCACCGGATTCCACTCTGGATGAACACTGATCTGCTCCAGACGCCGCACCTGAGCCAGAGCCGCCAGCTGAGGGAGATGAGTGATGCTCGTCTCCATGAACATCAGGTGCTGCGCAGGATGCAACAGCATGAGACATGCGTGTTAAAACGGTCATGATTCATTCAAACGGCTGATTCGCTCAGAAATGAAGCAAGTGAATGTCGTTATGAATGACTCACTGAATCACTGACTCACTCAATTCATTCAAACGGCTGATTCAATCAGAAATGAAGCAAGTGAATGTCGTTATGAATGACTCACTGAATCACTGACTCACTCAATTCATTCAAACGGCTGATTCAATCAGAAATGAAGCAAGTGAATGTCGTTATGAATGACTCACTGAATCACTGACTCACTCAATTCATTCAAACGGCTGATTCAATCAGAAATGAAGCAAGTGAATGTCGTTATGAATGACTCACTGAATCACTGACTCACTCGAAGTAATGAATGACTCACTGACTCACTCAATTCATTCAAACGGCTGATTAGTTCAGAAATGAAGCAAGTGAATGTCGTTATGAATGACTCACTGACTCACTGACTCACTCAATTCATTCAAACGGCTGATTCAATCAGAAATGAAGCAAGTGAATGTCGTTATGAATGACTCACTGACTAACTGACTCACTGAATTCATTCAAACGGCTGATTTGTTCAGAAATGAAGCAAGTGAATGTCTGGAGCAATGACTCACTGACTAACTGACTCACTGAATTCATTCAAACGGCTGATTAGTTCAGAAATGAAGCAAGTGAATGTCGTTATGAATGACTCACTGACTCACTCAATTCATTCAAACGGCTGATTAGTTCAGAAATGAAGCAAGTGAATGTCGTTATGAATGACTCACTGAATCACTGACTCACTCAGTTCATTCAAACGGCTGATTCCTTCAGAAATGAAGCAAGTGATTGTCGTTATGAATGGCTCACTGAATCACTGACTCACTCAGTTCATTCAAACGGCTGATTCGTTCAGAAATGAAGCAAGTGAATGTCGTTATGTATGACTCACTGAATCACTGCCTTAATTAGTCATTGAATCATTCATTTAACCAATTCGTTCAAATAGCTGATTCATACAGAAAAGAAGCAGGTGACTGTCTTTCTGAACGAGTCACTGAATCATTGGCTCATTCGATGTATTCAAACGGCTGATTCGTTCAGAAACGAAGCAAGTGAATGTCGTTATGAATGACTCACTGAATCACTGACTCACTCAGTTCATTCAAACGGCTGATTCCTTCAGAAATGAAGCTGACCGTCTTTATGAGTGAGTTACTGAATCAATGACTCACTTGATTCGTTCAAACACATGGATTCATTCAGTAGCGAATCAGTACTGTGTGTTGATCAGAGACTCAACAGTTCTGCTGTGACTTTGATTGGAAGTATTTTCATTTGCAAAAATATAAACAAAGACAATTTTGAGTCTAAAATGTAGCACAATATGAACTTGTTTATTGAGCTGTTCTATAAATCTACAGTATATCACATTTGCAGTGGTGCAGATATTGCGGAAAAGCAGCACTCTTGCTGGTCTGATATTACTAAACTATTTCATATGACCTGAATATAAGATCTGCAAATAAGCAAACTTTTTATGTTATTACCACAACTTATTATACACTAATCAAAACACTATCGGAGTCAGTTGCTGTGCTTGCACTGGTTCATTTTAATCTGCCTCGAGCTCAAACATCTGCAAACGCCTGTCACGACTGCTGTGATCCTCACCGTGAGGTTTGGGAATTTGAGGCGGATGCGCAGGAACATGGGAATGATGGAGTCGAAGTGGATGTATCTGAAGGCGACGGCGGTGACGCTCGCGGCTGTCTGAACGCCCCAGCAGCGCTCCAGCGTCTCCAGGGCCCCGGGGCCGAACAGACGCAGTGTCTCGCTGTCTAGCTCCGCCAGGTGACTGTCAGATATGGACAGACTCTGAACGCTGGGCCCACCGGCGTCCTGCGGCCTGCGAACACAAACACACTCCTCTGAAGACTGAGACGAGCGGGAGCCTCCCGTTACACACGACTGTGTGAAGGATTTCAACATGTTCGGACAGAGACTCCTCTGAGAGGAATATTTGGACTCCAGCCTGTTTACAGGATTAGTTCACTCCAGAATAAAAATGATAATTTACTCGCCCCCATGTCATCCGAGACGTTCATGTCTTTCTGTCTTCAGTCCCAAAGAAATTAGGTTTTTTTGAGGAAAACATTCCAGGATTTTTCTCCATATAATGGACTTCAATGGGGATCAACGGGTTGAAGGTCCAAAGTGCAGTTTCAGTGCAGCTTCAAAGAGCTCTACAGGATCCCAGCCGACGAATGTTTTCCTCAAAAAAACGTAATTTCTTTGCGACTGAAGACAGAAAGACATGAACATCTCGGATGACATGAGGGAGAGTGAATTATCAGGGAACTTTTATTCTGGAAGTGAACTACTCCTTTAAATTCACATTTGGCACGATGAGATCTGAACAGTAGAGTATATTGCTACAATTGTGTATGAATTTATACATATGATAATCACACTACAAGCTGGTTTTAATGTAACAGTGATAAATACAGTATGCATACAAAACAAATAAATCTGAAAGTAATTGATTCATGCATGTGACCTTAATAAACAAAACCACTGTATTTCTGACTGGCGGGTGAATAAAGTATTGAATCACAAACAGCTGTCAGTCATCAGTGATTCCAGTGCGGTTTTGTTCATTATAATTGGAGCAATTTGGTTTTGAGAGATTTCATTTTGAGAGGTTAATTCAGAGGCGAATAATGCGTTTTTAATGAACGCTCTTGATGAGACGCACGTGACTGACGCTGTAATTCTCTGCCCACAGACAGAGCAGAAACACTCACAGCGCAGACGCTCTTTAACGGATCTGTAGTGCTCTTCTGCTCGTTCACTAATCACTCTGCTCCTACGCAGAAATTATTCATTTAATGGACCCATTTTACAAAGAGAGCCGCCAAGAATCAGATCAGTCTGCTGCGGACCACTGAGATACTTTTAGCAAGTATTAAAACACACAAAAGTGCCATAGTGTGACTTATCCTGGTCTATCAACCTTCTCAATCAGGCCTCTTCTCTTATAACCGGATAAATCTGATGTTTAATATAACATACAATAAAACACTGACTTTTATTGAACTTTGATTTAATCAACTATTAAATCATAAAAATATATACAATTAAAATAAATCAAATTAAATCATACAAATCTAAAAATTAAATTAAATAATAACATTAAATTAAAAACAATTAAATTATATATATATATATATATATATATATAT